CAGGACAGAGGAGCAACCCCTGTCCCGGGCCCTCCAGAGATCATCTACCAATGTGACCAATGCCGTTTCCGTGCTGTATCCAGGCCTGAAGCCCGACTGGAACGGATCTAGATAAGCCGATTCATCCAAGTACTGAGGAAGCTGTCGCGCTACCACACTCTCAACAACCTTCGCAACAAAGCGAAGTATGGGGGGAGGAGAGGGTGTTCCCTAAAGTGGGGGCTACAGCAGAAAAGGCACATTGTCTATGAGCTGCCAAATACAGTAAAATTGTTGATAGGTACTGAAGAAAGTTGTTTATATTTAATAGCAACTAAACTCTGAAATACAGCTGTCTCATTTATTATGGTGGTATAAATTGAATTTGTAGTGCTTCAAAGAAAATGTAAGCCTTAAGTTTAATAGGAAATCATTACAGGTAGTCCTCAACTTACAACCTTTCACTTACTGAGTGTTCAAAATTACAACAGCGCTGAAAAAAGTGACATGACCATTTTTCACAAGTACCACCATTGCAGCATCCCCATGGTCATGTGATCAAAATTCAGGCGTTTGACAACTGACTCATATTTATAACGGTTGCAGGTCCTGGAGTAACATGATCACCCTTTGCGATCTTCTGACAAGGAAAGTCAGCAGGGAAGTCAGATTCACTTAACAATTGCATGGATCCACTTAACTGTGGCATGAAAGGCCCTAAAATGGGGCAAAATTCACTTGACAACTGCCTCATTTAGCAACAGAAATGTTGAGTTCAATTGCGGTGGACTATCTGTAACTGATGCTTATGTGCTTTATTATCAGTCATAACATCAATTGGGTGCATTCTCCAACCATTTTAATATAGTATCATTTGAAAATTACATGGAGTAAAGTAACAATTGTTTGATTTCATATGCTTTTCCTGTGATTTCTTAGTTGGTTTCTTTGATTGATTGATTGATTGACTGACTGACTGACTGACAATGGTACTTTTACTAAACAGAGGCTCGATGTATCTGAAAACATTCTAAATAAAGTTACAGTAAATTATACAGTAAATATATATATATAATGTTTTCATTCTTTTTCCTCTGAATTTAAAAAATAAAACTAGAAAATGTCCTTAATGTCATTTGGATCATCCATTGTTTTTTATGAGCTAGGTTTGTATATTTTCACTGAGCTATTTCATCATAACTCCGATGGATATCAGTTCAAATACCATCAATTGACTTGAGTTCCATTTGCACCTCCTCAGTCTCTTTCAGTTTCACCATTATGAATATATTGGTATCATTTGCAAATTCCCCTAGTGGATGGCTCATCCCTAACTTTCAGGTTTTTGGTAAAAAGAATAAAGAGCACTTGTCATAACCCATATTAAAAGGTAATGGTTTCCCCTGCCAGTCATCTCTGACTTTAGGGGCAGTGCTCATCTCCGATTCACAGCCAAAGAACCATTGTTGTCCAAAGATGCTTCCGTGGTCATGTGGCCAGCATGACTATATGCTGAAGGCACACTGAACAATGTTACCTTCCCACCAAAGTGGTACCTCTTTATCTACTTGCATTCATATGCTTTTAAACTGCTAGCACGAGCTGGGGTAAGTAATGGAAGCTTATTCTGTCACCCAGTACTTGGGTCTCGAATGCCAACCTTCCAGTCAACAAGCCCAACATCTTAACCGTTCAATCACCACAGATATTAGGAGCATGCATAAAATGGGAAAAACATTTTAAACCTGGAGCAAACCGTGTTTTCAATGTTCTGCCAAACTTCTTTCTAATTCCAGGTTTTAAGCAAAATTCAGATGGGGCAAATAGGGCAAGACTGGCACTTCCTCTTACCTGTCATTGGTTCATAACATGGCATAACAAAACAGTTTGCTTACCCCACTAGTTTTCCCAGTGACTTTCCTTGTTCTGTCAACACCCTCCATTCAGCCACATATATCTTTGCTCCCTCCTCTATCCCAGTAGTATGCGTAGACCAATCCCTTCTCATTTGATCTGTGCTCAAATTAAAACATTCCAAACATATGTTTTGATCTAGGCACAGATTATAAAGTTCACTACTGAATGTCTATATTTGGGGTGCTATTTTAAATTTCTTGATAGTTAATATATTTTATTAAAAAGTATCTGAAAAATTGATTCCTTTAAATGAAAGATTATACTATCCTACTGAAATTCTTTATAGCTAATACAAATCTACTTAAATTTAGCCATCAGTAACTTAGACCTTTGTGATTGTTGTGTACCTTCTCTTACAGTTTTAGAGAGTTGGTTGGATTATACTGGAGAGCTGGAGCCACCAGAACCGTTAGCAAGACTTCCTCAACTGAAGCATTGTATAAAACAACTTCTCACAGACTTGGGCAAAGTACAACAAATAGCACTTTGCTGTTCAACATGATACGAAATTTCTGCTGGATGGCTGGAGCCTGTCGTATGATGAGCACTCTCTATTTTAATGGAATAGCATGCTTGTTGCATGTGATGCAGAACTGACTTCAGGGAATTATTTAGGAGCAAGGGTTACTCTTCATAAAAGTAAAGAGATTTGCCCTTATTTTGTTCAGTTGGCCTTTGCTAGGCATTTTTTAACATTATGGAAACGGATTTATTCTTGTCTTCAAAATGTACGAGCAGGTTAGCAAAGGATTTTTTCATTCCTTGTATCAAGTTGAAATAACCATTAATGTTCTTTGCATATATACACTGACAAAATTGTGCCACTGGAGAACAAAGTTTTAAGAGCCAAAAAATAATTAGTGATCCAAGGCTGTAGATAACATTCTGCCTAGTTTATTTAAGTGACTTAATGTGTCAGAAAGACTCATACTTTATCCTAATAGTTTATGCATAACTACGGTATTTAATCAATAGAAGATATTATTTTCAAGCCTAGCAAGTATGAATGTCTAATTTTATAGTAAACTGTTACAAGAGGTTTGCATATATGATCTGAAACTAATCTACTATTTTAAATAGATGTAGTAGAAGGTCCCAATTTGGTTGCACTTCTTTTCCTAGTAAATTATCATTTTCCATATTTATCATGACATTGTAGCATGATTCTCATGGTACTGGGACACTCATTTATGTTGAGCTTCTGTGCATTCTTGAATTTCTAAATCTGGCCATGCTGTGCCTCCCATGTACTGATGACATATCCTAAACGCAGGGTATAAAAGTGTCTACACAAAGAAGGATGTATTACAGATTCAAATCTAACCATGGCCAGTGACGGCCATGGTGTTGTTTTCTTCCCTACTGTTTATAATTGCCATTCCGGTTATAGTTTGAAACATAATCTTTTTCAATATTATAAATGTTTTCATTGTAGATACTTGTAAAGTGTGGTTTTGGGAATCAGTTAATTTTATATTTGTGTATAACAAAGAGTCTCAAGGTCTATGCATGAGGTACTGTTCCCAAAGGCAATGGGACATTATGTTAAACAATGTTTTTGAAACCCCTTTTTGTACTTTTATTTTTAGTTTCCTTACTAGCATTATTTGTGAGATCAAAGTGAAGAAATGCTGCTTACATTGAAGCTACATTATATAGTAGCTTTTCAAACATTGGTGTATCGTAACTATTTTATATGTTTAAGAATATCATTTGCCTGCAGATCATATTTCCATCACTACTTCCTTTTTGTTAGATAACATCTGGGACAAGAAATTACTTTGAGGTGGACAGAATAGGGTATTTTTGCATTGGGTGTTCTGAATGTTGGATTTTTCCTACCTTGATATTGGAGTTGTTTTTGACACCACCAAAGTTTAAATTAAAGCACATTTGTGAGTTGAAGACCTGTTTAGTGTACAAATTGGTAATTATGAATAAAAATCCTTAATGTTTATATGCTGCAGAATTATGTAGGTTTCAGTTATCTAGTGTTTGTCATAGAAGTAACATTTTTCTGACCATCTTATCTCATTCAAAAACAGTCTACTTTTTTTTCATTCTGACAGAGACTTTATGCCAAGACTAATTTCAGGGAATAATTTGTCTCCAATTATTTGGCTTATAGGTTATAAGTATAGCAGCTGTACAGCAGATAAAATTATTTTGCTGTAATAAATTGGAATAAAGTTTGTGATTATTAAAGACATCCAGTTGTCTCACAATAACATTATGGGGAGTTTTCTAGATGACAAGATATCCCTGAAAAAATATTTCTCTATCTTTTCGCTATAAACAAGTAAGTGCATTTTGTTAAGGCTTGATTAACTTATATTTCTAGCTATATCCCTTTAATGTTGAAGATAATCTTAAAACTATAGAGCAGGACCTAGAATTTTCAAAGTGTTACAGATTGTAACTGATAGAACTTCTAATTAGCATGACCAGTACTTAGGGACACTGAATTATCATTTAACAACATTTGGAAGTCTGCTGTGTAGGAAACTGAAAGGCAGACAAGTTCAATACTAAGAGTAACTACTTTATTTTTGTGGGCTTTGGACTGGTTTCCTGATTGTTCAGGCTATAATATAGTTACAATATAAGAGAATATATGTAACTCAGAATTGAACTATGGATTTCTTGGTGCTCTCTGAACTTGGTTGTTTGCTTGTAGACATTTCATTACCCAATTAAATAAGGTTGTGAAACATTTGCAAGCAAACAACCAAGTTCAGACATCATCAATGACTCCGCTATAATTTATTTTTAAATTTTTATTTGTATTCCGCTTTTATTATTTTTATAAATAACTCAATATGGTGAACATGTGAGGCTTGTTTAGTTTTAATATAAAACCAATGTATTGTGGCTTCATTAAGCAAACCATGCAGCTTATGAGTGCTGCCAAAAACTGCCATAGGTTTTTGTGTGCCTTTTATGTGCCATGTGTGGATACTGTATAGAGAACACTTGTATTTCCATTCTACCTTTGGTAGCTCCATTCCTACCATTCTTCCTCTCAGATCAGAGAAAGCATCTTTCCTTGCTTTCCTTTGTTGTTTCTTGAACTGTTGACATGAATGTTCCAATGCTCCATTACAGCCTGGTGAAACAATTATTTGGTTTATTGTGAATACCTCACTTTTTGCATTACTAATCAATTATGAATTAACAAGTGCAAAACCTGTAGGGAAAATACATAAATATACTTCACACACAAATACACAATATTTCAATGAGCCAAGCGTCTTGAAAAAGATGAAAAGTATAACTATGATAACACTGATTTAAGGATAACCACTTTGAATCAACTTGATAAAAATACCACAAATTCAACAGATCTTGTGTTTAAGCTTCATGTTCCAGAAATACTTCCAATATTTGCTTTATATATCTTCGGCTTGCCTTCCTTTTATGTTTGGTGTGCCCTGTAATGACAGGTCTTCGGTCATAAACAGGTAAGTAGTAACTGCTTCTCGCATGCCAAGACTGATGGGTGAGTCTTCTGCTAGAGGTTCTTCTGACAACAAGTCTGAGCTAGACAGAAGAAAACATTTCTGAGCAACATTGTTAAAAGAAGAATAATGACTTTGTTTTTATTTTGTTTCAAGTAATGCATGATGCTCATAAGAACAGGCAAACAACTATCAGCATATTCTGCTTCAGTACCCTGGAAAGTTTGCTTTAGCTAATGGCATGGATTTTTCCCTTGTAGCAACAGATGCAATACTTCCTTGCTGCAGTGGTTTATGTTTGTTACATCTGAGGATTCTGGAGTTGCAAAGAAACACCTAGTCTCATGGATTGTTTTTAAAATGATATAGAACCAGTGTAGAGCAACCCTTTGGGCACCATGGACCGGTTCCGTTAAGGTTTTTCCACGGACCAGACGGGGCATGGTTTCATGTGTTGCATGCATCCTGCAGATGGGGCTTTGCTTGTTCGCACAGACCAGTTGCTAGCATGTTGCAGACCAGTGCTGGTCCACAGACTGGGGGTTGGTGTTGGTTAAATTGTTGAATTAGAATCCAGGAGACCTCAAGTCACCTTCAGCTGCAGAAACTCCTTGAGAAATTGAGTCAATCATAGTTTCTCAATTTGCCAGTGCCACAAATCCTGGGAATAATTGAAGGAGTGCTAGAACATTAAATAATGCCCTTGCATCTGCTGAATTAAATCAAGGTCTAAATGAAAGATTCAGTATATTATTAGCAAGATGGCAATAGCACTTAGATTTATATACTGCTTCATAGTGCTTTACAGCCTTCTCTAAGTGGTTTACAGAGTCAGCATATTGTCCCCAATAATCGGTCTTTTTACCGACCTCAGAAGGATGGAAGGCTGACTCAACCTTGAGCCGCTCAGAATCAAAATCCTGAATTGAGCAGTGAGTTAGCCTGCAGTATTGCATTCTAGCTGCACCACACGGCTCTTAAAAGCTAAAAAGATAGTTGCAATCTATATTTTTATCAGTAACAATTATTTCGTATCATTAAATTGTTTTATCAGAATCAAGGCGCTTGAAATAGTTTGGAGATTGTTGGGGATATTTTATCCTTACTTGCTTTTGTTGGCAGTGTGAAATGTTAAAACTTTCACTGAGACAATCATACATTTTTTAAAAACACTGCTTCAGATATAAATTTTTCGACTGAGAAAGATGAGAATTCAGCCATGGTGAAGTAACTTGATCCCATCTTAAAAACGTCACATCCTGCTAAATGCAATTTCTTCAGAATAATATTATACGGTACTTAGGGCTATTGTGTGCTGTATGTTTACTGCTGCAGGACCATGAAACTACAGCTCCAGCTCACTGTAGAGGGGAAAACATTTCTCTAAAGTAGATAGCACTACTTTAACCCTGTACTGGTCATCTTTGGCAGGGAAATTCCAGTGTGAATGTCAAGTTCCAGGGTGAATCCAAATTTCACAATTGGTCTGACCTCATCAACATTTCTATAAACTTAATGGGGGTGGGAGGGTTATCAAAAAGTCTGGCCCTCTCAGGGTTTTTTTTTTTTTATTGAAGAAATGTGGCTTTGGGGCGGCAAGGGTTGAGCAAGGGAAAGCTTTTGGAAAGCTTGTCCTGAAGCTGCCTTTTATGCAAGGATCGACTTCCCAAAACCTAGGGAGGCAGAAGAACGTTGCAGCTTCTAGAGCTCTGAAAACAGCTACCGTTTCAGCAAGGAATTGGGGCCCTGAAAAAGGCAGCTGCTTCCAGGAAGCATGGAAAGCAGTCCTGAGCACTCCAGGTCCTGCTAGGGGTGGGATGGGGGAAAAGAGAGGGGCACCACAGTATTACCCTGGTCTAAAGGGTGAATGACTTCAGTGGCACTGCAACTGAATGGTCTAACTGCTAAGTGGTCTGTTGCTTCCCAACACTACCTGCAGTCACTCATGCCTTGGTACTTGTTTTGATTATTGCAATGCACACATCATGAAATTGAAGACTATTGGAAGCTGTAACTGGTCCAGAACTAGCGATTTTGAGTTTCAGCTTACCTGCCTATATAACACCTGTCAGTTTTTCATAAAACTATTAAGATCTGTTTACTTCCATGGGCTGGCGAAGCTGAGGAATTGTTTTGTTTCTTATATAAAATTATATATATATATGTGTGTGTGTGTGTGTGTGTGTATGTATGTATGTATGTGTATATATACACACACACACACATACATACATACTACGGTTGCTATTCAATGCTCAAGAAATACATTGCTCATATTTTCACATTATTGTATTTAGTTTTTAATATTACTATTTTGAAGGTCCATAAACTATTTGGAATCAGACATAATTGGAGCAGCATATTAGTCAAATAAATATCCCTAAATTGTGCAAACATGATTTTGCAAAATATTGTTGGTTTGTTACCAAAATTTGAACAATCCAGCAAGCCATATTACTTGAGTTCTTGATAAAGGTTGAGTATAGGTTGAATATAAAAAATAAAATAACCTCTTGATCTGTTGCCAGTTGAGAGCAGATTTTTTTGCTTCCACAGGTTTGGGAAGATTATGAAACAAGCTGGAACTAGCTCCTTGGATGAAGCATGGTTTCTTCAAACAGCAACATAAGCCATCTCTACTTTCTATTAAAGAGAATAAACAAACATGATAGATTTTCATATACAGGGTTTTCTGACAGCCTACTGTCTTGCAGTGAAATACAGTTCACTACTGTATTGCAGTGAAAAAAATCCAGCTACAACAGTCATGTTGCTTTCCCAGCTTTTGGATAAAAATGCACTTTATTTTCTTGGTGAAAATACCCATACCCAACTTTAAAAATAATTCTTACAGCATGATCACATAACAGACCTAGACTTTTCACCACATTCTTACAAATCTTGGTTTTTTTTAATTAAATTTCTATAGCTAGCCATCTCGGCCAACTGACTCTGGGCGGCTTAACATTCTAAGACCATAAAACACTTAATCAAAAACATCCAAAACATAAATACAGCAGCCAAGAAAGTTAACCAACTAACAATATGGCCAAGAAATGGCTCCTAACACATTCTGAGCTTCAGGCTGGGCATACAACAGACAACAAATGGTAGAATTGAATAATTTATTTATTGACAAGCAAAGATCAAATTACGAGATCACATGAAGAGCTGGAAAACAACAACCTCCATGAACTTCAAAATTCTCTCTTGACAGTAGGCTTCTGAAAATTGATATTATAAATATACCAATTTTTCCAAATGTTAGTCAACATTTTTTACCCAGACTCTATTTTTTAAATTACAATAAAATAAATGGCAATTAGAATTATAGAAAATGGTACTCTCAGAATCAAGAGTATGGTGGCACAAAAGTTATTTTTCACTGAGAAGAATCCAGGAATGTGGAATCTGTAACAGATCTTTGGCCATTTCCACCTTAGCTCCAAAGGGCTGAAGTTTTTGCCTATTGGCCTAACATTCTGTAAAGCAATTGTCTTTTTTTTTTCTAACACAGAGAGAGAGATTGCCACAACCAAAAACTGAAAAGAATGTATAATTCCCTTTAATTTATAATTAATTAAAAAAATAATTACCAGAATAATAGTCCACCAGTTCATGCAAGCTTGGGAAGGTAAGGCTGGGGGAAATATAAAGCCAGTTGTTCTCCAAGCAGTTAATGCGGTAGTGTTTTACACAATTCCAGGATTCATGATTTGTGCATCTGACTGATAAAGAATAGCAACCTGTTTGTCAGAATAAAATAACATATTTAGTATGTTAATAGTAACATATTTAGACAGAAAACAAGTCCACCCAATCCTACTGCTAACAGAGATTAATGAAATGTATATGTTTCATTAAATTCTCTTGAAAGCAATGAGATCTTTTTTCTGATGTTTAGAGTCATGCTAGTATCCTTAAAACTTGCATTATGTCTTAGTTGAAGAAGAAAGCTTAACTATTAATTTCAAAGCTTAATTAGATGTTATCACATTTAATCCATGGTAGGCCATGCAAAGCACGCACACTTGGTGTATCTTATATTCTCTGGCGCGCTGCTTGGAAGAATCCAAGAGCGTGGGTAATATCCCTCAGGTTGCCTGAAAATACTGAGTGTATGTCACTTTAAATGTCTGTTGACTCCTCCCCTAGGGACTGGCTGAGGCCCAGTTCCTTTCACTCAGTGCAGCCTGAAAGAGTGCTTTTTTGAGATTTCCTCCTTACTCGCAATTTGCTTCTGTATTATTTTTATTAATTTTATTATTTTTGTGAGTTTCTTGCCTCTTCCATCTTCATTACTGTGAGTTTTTCCCCAACTTCCTCTGATCGAAGGGCTGAGGCGTTCTGAAGGCGCTGGCCTTCAGACGCTCCTCCAGGGCTTCTATCTGCCACAGGGCTCTGCTTGCCACCTCGGCATCCCTGCGAGCCATCGTGTTGCCCTGTATATATAATTAGCCCTCGCCGCCGAGCTCTGCCCCAATAGGCATCTCTGCGTGCCATTTCAACGGGGCGCTCCGGAGGTGCCTTTTCCTTGCCGCGGCCCGTTTTCCCCTGCCGCCCACGCACTCTAGCGTCGCCTGCTAACAAGCGCCTTTAACTTAATTGAGGAAGCGTTAGGAGCGCTCGTTAGCGCCCGCTCGCAACGGAAGACAGTTTTCGCGGTCCGATCCTTCGACCGCCATCGCGCTCCAGCCCCGTCTGCCTCGACCGCCCTTGCCAGCAGTTCAAGAGGCGTTTGGAGCGCTCTTTAGCGCTCGCACGCATCCAGGCACCTTTCTCTGAGCGCGGAGCCAAGCCCCTAGTTCCGACAGCCCTCCAACCTCTACAGAGAGGCCTCCTTGACTGGGACCCCGGTGACGACGTTGCAGGACGCCTTTTCCCGCGCGGCCGCCATTTTGTGGTTGCCGCCATTTTGTCTTCATCAGTGCCGACCCTCAGCAACGCTCCAGGGCTTCCTTAGTGACTTTGCTGCTCCATTCAAGTAGGATCCTTTTGTCACTTGCCTTGAACTTTTGACTGTTCCTTACTTCCCAGTAAGGAAGGATTTAAACGTCTCCTTATAGAGAGGGGTGTGTTTTGTCTATTACCCCCCCCCCCCAAAAAAAAAAAAAAAAAAAAAAAAATAAATTTTCTGGCCATGGCAGATCCAGATCTTTCTTCTGACCTGGAGCAAGACCAATCTTCACCGCGGCCTAAGAGCTCTGACCGCTCGTCTGGGAAGGCACCGAAGAAGGCATCAAAAAAGTCGTCACGCTCATCTAGGTCCGCCTCCTCTAAAGGCCACAAATCTTCCTCGGCTGAGGATAAGGCTGCTAAGCGCCGCCATGATGCTCTTGAGCGGCAATTTCAACAGGCGCAACGCAAGGCACCTGCTTCCATGCCGCCAGTCAGTCACCCTGGAGAAGAGCTTACATCATCTTCTCTCATTGACCCCTCACCTCATCCGGCCCCTCCTCAAGGGCTGACAATTGGGACCGAACCTGCGACTCAGGGATTCATCTATCCCCAACAGATTGAACCTCCAGCAATTCCTTCAACTTCTTCAGCAGTCTACCAGCCTCCTCTTCCGGTCAGGGCGCCTGAGGCCACCTTCACGCCCACCGCGGCAGGTCTCCGTCCTCCAGAAGGTCCTCCACCTTCTTACTATGATATTCAGGCAATGATCACGGCCACAGTATCCAGAATGATGGCAGGAGGGTTTCCTCAAGCCCCTTATCCTCAGGAGACTTCGCAGCCATACATGCCGGAACAACGCAGACCAGCCACTCATCGGCCTGAGGCTGACCCTGGTGATTACTCACTACAGGATTCCGACCACAGTGACGAATCCCAATTTGGCGGTGATGAGGTGGGGGATATGGAGCTTTCGGAGGACGAGGATGAACCGCCGGAGAAGCCATCCTCTACGGGACTCTTCCGGCCTTCACTCTTCAAGGCTCTCCTCCGCAAGGCAATCGCTACTACGCAATTAGCATCTTCCAAGGCCTTGCCAGACACCGAGAGGTCCTCTAACCCTCATGATGCTCTCTTTGCCGTACCGCAACCCGACCAGGAGTTCATTCCCTGCCCACAACTGTTCTCTGAAACCGTTCAGCGGCCCTGGGCCCAGCCGGGAGCGCTCGCAGCACCCAACGGCATTGACAAAAAAGCTGTTTTGCTCAGCGCCCAGTCTGCAGGATTTACTTGAACTCCCGTCGGTCGACGCACCAATTGCAGCCCTAACGTCCTCCACGGTGCTATCCAACGACACCGCAGATGGCTTGCGCTCTGAGGACAAAAGAGCCGAACTAGTGTTCCGCAAGGCCCATCAAACTGCGGCCTGGGCCATACGCGCCGCCACCTCGGCCTCTTTCTTTAACAGGGCCTCCCTGATCTGGCTCCGCCAGCTTCAGGAGCGACTCCCGCCTGATGACCGGCGCCTCCACCAGGATGTTAACAAGCTGGTGGCAGCGACGGAATACTCCGCAGATGCGGCCCTGGCAGCAACCAGGTTCGCGTCACGATCTCTAGCGTCAACCGTCACCTCTCGTCGCCTCCTCTGGCTCCGACACTGGCGTGCGGACGTAAAATCCAAATGGAAGCTTGCTTCAGCTCCATATAAAGGATCTCGGCTGTTCGGGGAGGCACTCGATCCCATCCTCATAGAGGATAAGGACAAAAAGAAGATCATGCCATCGTCCTATCGCAGAGCGGAGCGTCGCTACTTACCTTATAATCAGCGGCCTTCATTTCGGGCGGATCCTGGCCCCAGCTCTGCTTCCACCTATCGTCCTTCATCCTTTTCTTACGACCGTCCGTCGGACAGGCAGCCCTTTCGGGACCGCACCAGGCGGCAACAGCCTCCGAAACGCCCCTTTCGCGGAGGAGCCTCCCGGCCCTTCCGGAGAGGGAAATGACTGCTCCGAACCCTACCCTATCGGCGGCCGCCTGCATCACTTCTTCCACCAGTGGTTCCAGACTACGACGGACGAATGGGTCCTGCAAACCATTCGTCTGGGACTCACCCTGGAATTCTCCTCCTGCCCCCCTCATCGTTTCATCCGATGCCCGGTCTCCAGGAACCCCGAAAAGAGACGCCTGATGTCCTCGGAAATACATCACCTCTTGGACATTCACACTATAGAGCCCGTTCCCACAGAACATCGTGGGACCGGTTTCTATTCAATATTTTTCCTGGTTCCAAAGAGCTCGGGAGGCTGGAGGGGGATATTGGACTTAAAGCAGTTAAACAAATTGATCGCCTACCACAAATTCAAAATGCAGTCCCTTCATTCGATCTTGGCCGCCATCAGACAAGCCGACTACATGACTTCCATCGACCTCAAGGAGGCCTACCTCCATATTCCGGTCAGGCCCTCCCATCGGCGATTCCTTCGCTTCTCCTACGACAACCAGGACTTCCAGTACAGGGCCATGCCGTTCGGTCTCTCGTCTGCCCCCAGAACCTTCACAAAGATCCTAGCTGTAGTAGCAGCTTCGCTTCGGCTCATTCCCATCAGAGTCCTCTGCTACCTGGACGATATCCTCATCCTGTCCGACTCTCAACACAAGGCCTTCAGGGACCTGGAGGCAGTTCGAGATTCCCTTCAACGGCATGGTTTCTCCCTAAATTTGGAGAAGAGTTACCTCCAGCCCACTCATCGTATTCAACACCTGGGGGCCATCATCGATTCGACCTCTTGTCACGTCTTCCTGGCCCCGGATCGTTGCCACAGCATCGCCACGGCAATTGCCCAGATTCAGTGTTCCCGGACAGTTTCTATTCTTCAATTATCACAGCTCCTCGGGAAACTAATCTCATGCATCAACATCGTGCCGTGGGCTCGCCTACATTCTCGCCCCCTCCAATGGTTCCTCCTGCCCCACCAGAAGTCCATGGGCAGCAATTCATCATCGAGGGTCAGGCTCCCTGGTTCCATTCGCCGATCACTCCGTTGGTGGACTTCTCCCGCTATTTCGAAGGGATGCTTCTTTCAAGAGCCAGAAAGGATAACAGTGACAACGGATGCGAGTTTACTGGGGTGGGGTGCCCATCTCTCCGCAAAGATGGCCCAGGGTCTTTGGTCACCCTCGGACCTACATCACGATATCAATTGGCTGGAGTTGAGGGCCATCCACCTCGCCCTCCGGCATTTCCAACCCGACATCCAAGGCCAACACGTGCTGGTCTTGACCGACAACACCACGGCCAAGGCACACCTGAATCGGGAGGGCGGCACGCATTCCAAACCATTACTGGACGAGGCGGTCTCCCTTCTTTCCTGGGCGGAGGGGACCGTCCTCTCCATCTCAGCTCAACACATCTCCGGAACGGAGAATACCCAGGCGGACTGGTTAAGCCGCTCTCAAATCGACCATGCGGAGTGGCGCCTGGACCCAACTCTCTTCCGGCTTCTGTCAGCCAGATTCGGCCTTCCTATTCTGGACTTGTTTGCGAGCCCCTGCAACGCACAGCTACCTCGCTTTTACTCCAGATTCCCAAGTCCGGGGTCCGAAGGGACGGACGCCCTGCGATGTCCATGGCCCCGCGGCCTATTATACGCCTTCCCTCCAATCCCTCTTCTCCCAAGGGTAGTGCGCAAAATTCTGTCGGAGGGCGCGGAGATTCTCCTGGTCGCCCCGCACTGGCCGCGACAACCGTGGTATGCGGATTTACTGGATCTGTCGATATCCCAGCCATGGAGAATTCCCCAGGACAGGGTCTCTCTCAGCCAGGGAGCCATCCTCCACCCGGAACCGGAGTGGCTCCAACTGGCCGTCTGGCATTTGAGAGGGCCCTCCTGAGGAAGGACAACCTGTCGGGGCGAGTCATTGCCACCATGCAAGCCTCCCGCCGGGCTTCAACTCTACGAATTTACGAGGCTACTTGGCAGGCCTTTCGCCGCTGGTGTCGCAAGAACAGCGTAGATCCGGCTGGGGCATCAGTTCCTGTTCTCCTTGAGTTCCTCCAGGACGGATTGGACAGCGGCCTAGCCCCGAATACCCTGAGACGGCAGGTAGCTGCCTTGAACTCGGTTTTGTCTAAGTCACCGGATCGCCCACTGACCTTGGATCGGAGAGTTCGAACATTTCTTAGAGGTGCCACCAACTTGCATCCGCCAGTAGTACATAGGTACCCATCCTGGGATCTGTCACTGGTGCTCCAGACCCTGATGTCTCCACCCTTTGAGCCCCTGTCGTCTATTCCTCTTCGATTCCTGACCCTTAAAGTCGTATTTCTAGTAGCGATCACGTCAGCGAGGCGGGTCTCTGAGCTCGCGGCCCTTTCTGTCCGCTCAGACCTTTGCATTTTTCATCAGGACAGGGTGATCCTCCGACTTGACCCCGCCTTTGTGCCCAAAATCAATTCGCTCTTCCATCGAGCTCAAGAGCTAATTCTGCCGGATTTTTGTCCGCGACCTCATCATCACAGAGAAGCCCAATGGCACAAACTCGATGTCCGGCGCGCTCTCCGGCACTACATTAAGCGGACTTCCCAGTTTCGGAAATCGGAAGCGCTATTTGTATCTTTCCTGCCAGCTTCAATGGGGCACAAAGTTTCTTCGTCCACCATTGGGCGGTGGCTCAAAGCTTGCATCTCTACGGCATACACCCTTCGCAACAAGTCTCCACCGGGACGCATCTTGCCGCATTCAACTAGGAGCGCCGCGACTTCGGCGGCGTGGGCCACACAGGCATCCGTCCTGGACATTTGTCGCGCAGCCACCTGGACCTCCATCATTCCCTTTGTGCGACATTATAAAGTTGACTCCTTTGCCTCGGCTGAGGCGTCCTTCGGACGACGAGTTCTGCAATCTGTGATCTCTGCTGCAGACAACCGGGAGCATCCAGCCTCCCCTCCCATCTAGTACTTGCTTGGGTACATCCCACGCTCTTGGATTCTTCCAAGCAGCGCGCCAGAGAATGGATGTTGCTTACCTGAACATCCTTTCTGGGCGCGCTGCTGAAGAATCCAACCCACCCGTTGCGGCTTCTGCTTCCTGATCCTGGATGGACTCGACTCTTGTTAGGACATCCTTCGTGAAAGAAACTGAGCCTCAGCCAGTCCCTAGGGGAGGAGTCAACAGACATTTAAAGTGACATACACTCAGTATTTTCAGGCAACCTGAGGGATATTACCCACGCTCTTGGATTCTTCAGCAGCGCGCCCAGAAAGGATGTTCAGGTAAGCAACATCCATTTCCTCACACTTAAAGAACTAGGAAATTCCTTTGGACATTAGAATCCATACCTTTTTTTGCTTGTCTCTTTCTTATGATGAAAGAACCTTCCTGGTTTATAGGCAACAGTAACAACTCCTCAGCTTTTGCTCGATCAATGCCATCGTAGAGCCACCTGAAGACAAAAACGGGTCAGTATGAAAAATATGTGTAAATTAAGGGGGAAACTACTTTCCTTGTAGGGTTGAGGATCTCTTGGAACACAGAGGAACCCCCCCCCCCAAATATTCTGTGATGTTACTTCAGATAGAGAAAAACCACAATGCTTACCTGTGTGAAATTTTAGCTATGTTGTTGCTAGGTACACAGCATTCTTTGCCAGTTGCTACTGACTTGACTTGACACCATTCACCCTCTCTGCAGGAGAAGAAATGTAACTTAAAGCCAGGACCTCAAGTAAAATTCTGCTGTACCTTGAAGAAGTTCCCATTTTTCCTAAAATTCTGGTCAAGGAGCAGGCTTTGTCATCAGAAAAATACTCTGCAATTATTCCTTTCTTGGGACTACATTAACACCCAAATAATCCAGACTTTAAATATGAATGATGGAGGTTAATTTAACCACCTAGATGTGTTAGGTTTACAATCCCCAGACTGACCAGCCACATGGCAACTGGAAATTTTGGGAATTATCTTATTAATGCAAATGAAGATCAGGTTGAGAAAGGCTGAATTAGCCCTTCTAACTACTCAGAGGAGACCTCAAATAATTGAGGCCAGCTCCATATGGTCTCCTAGTTTATTTTTTTAGTAGTTATTTACATATTTTGTGTATGCTATTTTTAATTTTAAATATCAGTAACATTAAATATAAATACAATATTGTAAAATGTAAAGAGGAAAAATGGAGAATCAACAACTAATAAACTAATTTGGACAGCTAATATAAAGTAGATATGGAAAACAAAATAAGGTCTGACCACGGATGTTTTCAAAATTGGATTTTCCTGAAGTGGGGATCTCCCTAACCTCTCCAGGATATATTCCTCTTGATGACCACCATAATATTAACTGCACTGCTTGATGTTTTGTCCCTTGTCTGTTAATACTCACTCAGATAGCAAATTCAGCTGTTCCCCCATCCTTAGTAGTGGCTCTGTGTCTCTAGAAGGAAAATCACTGACTGCAACAATCATGGGGGAATTGGCAACTGCAGATTAAAAGAAAAAATAAACACCAACCAGGTTATTGTGTGATTTTAACTTCTCAATATTTGAAGTATTCTTGCAAAGTGTTACTGTATGTCTCATTTTAAGATTATCTCACTGCTTCCTCTACACTAGAATGTAGAAACTGATGTGTTGATAGAAGCTAATTCCCAATAATATTGGGCAACACCAAATTGTTTCCCATTCATTTGTGGTCAAACAGAACATTTCATTATAGCATTACATAATTTGAATCCAGGATTCTACAAAGCCATATTTTTTATACAAATGTACTCAGATTAAGAAAGATTTTTTGCTTACTGCCCTCCCCCCCAGGCTGAAGCACTCAAGTGAGAATGCCAGACAGCACTCTCTATAACCGGGCGCTATCAGTGGAATTCCCTTGTAAGGGTATTTCATCTTGTCTACTTCAACTTTTCAGTTTCAGGCTGTTTACCTGTTAAAACATTTTAAAACTAATCACCTGTTTTTTGCATCTATTTTACAACTGATGATGAATATTCATCCTAATGGCTATAACTACAGTAATATTTTTGCTATTTATTTTATCATTTAATTCTCTAAGAATGATATTAGAACTGGCTCTTTTGTTTTTAAAAGTCACTACCAATGCTACTGAATAAAACTTCAATCTTAAAATTTTATTATTATGGTTCTTCAAGTCTGGTTACTACATGGACAGATCCATGAAGTTTTCATGGCTAGCATAACTACATTCTTCCAGGATGTTTTTTGACTTTCCAAGCTAGGGTCACAGAAAATGACCCATAGTCATCCAGCTAGCTTCTCTATCTAAGGGAGACCTAGTCCAGAATTTTTTTTCCTACTAAACCAAACTGAGTCTCTCTTGTAAAGTACAAAGTTTAAATAGAAACTTCCTGTGATCTTGACACTATACCTCCGTGATGAAGCCAAAACCTGCAGCCTCTTTTAGTGGCTCATGTTTAGTCTGTGATCTATCAGATTCTTCTCACAGTTACTACCTCTAAGGCAGGTATCATCTGTCTCATACTCGTGCATCTAGTTTTTCCTAGCTAAGTGCATAATCTTTCATTTCTCACTATTGAACATCATTTTGTTGCACTCCATTTGACTCTTGAGCTTGTTTTTTGGATTGTTAGCAATCTCCTCCCCTGCCAGTTTTATGTCATCTGCAAATTTAAGAGCATTCCTCGTATTTCCTCTTTTATAAAGATGTTGAAGAGTCTTTGGGCCAGGACAGAACCCTGAGATACCTTCCTCCAGGTGGATAGACCGATCAAGGAATTCAAATTGGCCAACTGCAAATATAGTGGGATAATCTGTCCCACATTGTTCCTCACTGCCACATTGTGGAGCAGACTAAATAGTTATAGTTGCTATGTTAATGAGTTTCATGTTCAATCAAGGATTTAGAATTTCTCAACCAAAATTAATAAAAGCTGCTAGATAACTAGCATGGAAGTGCTAAAGACTTCCATTTCCACTGGCACACAGAACCCGATCATAGTACATGACATAAAATTTTACAAACAATATGTATGTATGTATATCATGTGACTGTAACCTTTTCAGGTAATGAATCACATGACTTGTTTTGTTATGTATGAAAATAAATCATTGCATTCAAAATTTAAGACGTCCAGAAACCTATAAATATTTTCCCCTATTTTTCTGCATGGAGATCTTTTCTTTTCTTTCTCTGTCCCCTAAAATCAATATGGTGAAGCACTAAGGAGATAAAGATTAAATCCCTCCTTTCTGTTGTAGAGAGCCACATTGGTATAGTCACTAGACCTGAAACTGGGAGACTATGAATTTAGTCTGGCATAGGCACAAAACCTGTGGGCATGTGTGTGTGTGTGTGTGTGTGTGTGTGTGTGTATTGTTGTTTTAAGACTCAGACTGATGGTAGCACAGCATAACCCCTACCTGGCAGGTTTATACTATCGCTCTGGATATGCCTTGTGTTCAGTTGTGGGCTTGTCTGGTTAGCAATCTGTTTCCTCTTACTGGGCAAGCTTCCCATCACAATTTGTTGCTAACAGCAGTCTTCTAGTGTATCACTCAGAGGGGCCTATCAACAAAAGGAGAAAAGAAACTCATTCAAATAAAAATTCATTGTTGTCCTTGAACTGTTAGGAAAATACAGAAGAAACCAAATGCTGTTACAATTAATCAGCTGCCATTTTCTAGTTTCTTCTAAGGTAGATGTTTTATTAGTGTTGAAAGAGAAAGTATTAAATCATACCACAAACAAGAAGCAACAACTTCTGAAGGCAGGGAAAGGAAGAGGTAAGATGGCCAATTCTCCAGCATGGACTGATGAATATTGTTCAGGAATACAGTATCTCTCTTACATCAGTAGTGTAATAAAAAAAAGTTGTCCTGAATTTAGGGCATCATAATTAAGATGGCTTCCATCTCAAAGCCTTTTTTTCTAAGAATTTGCCTTTTTAAAAAAAGCCTCTTGCCCTGTAACCTGGAAGGCATGAACTTAATAACAGATACTGAAATATTCATGTTATGATAGTAAAAAATGTTTTATCTGCTACTAGCATAATCCTATGAATAAGAAAAAGTTCAGAAACATCTCGTGCTGAAAGTACCTTTCCTATTGGAGTTTGTTCAAAGTTGATGGCTCTTTCCTGGAAAAAAAAAGTATGGCGTTTCATGCTCTTCCTTCTTTATCCTACGTCTCTGGCTTCCATTGCGCTACTCCTAACAATCATCTTTACATTTTGCTACACAATAAAAAGCTATAATTATACTAGTCCATGAGTTTTTGTATGATCGTGCAGTTGTTTTTAACTTTCCCCATTTTAAAAGTATTCTAGTTAAGAGTATATCATCTCATATTTTTGTATAACTCAAAATGGTTTGTACTCACCTGTCATTATATCATAGCCGGGTCGTCAGATAGGTGATGCAGGGAATTTTTCTTTCATTGTAGCTCTGGAAATTGGTGACAACCCCCAATTCTAACTAGAACACAATTCATATGAGTGCTCCAGAGAAACCTCAGCCTTTTTCTTCAGTGGAAGTTTCTCAGAATACAAATGTCATTGAGTTGCCTGCAAACTATTTTTCTATTCGTTTGGATCTTTTGCTGCAATCTTTCAGGCAACTATTGTCATGTAGTATACAGGGGCAAATTAATATTAAAACAATAGTTATCTTGATCCTTCTTCATGCCAAGTGCACCCAAGCATGATACACAACACATTGGTATAGCTTGAGTGCATGTTATTAAGAAATGTTAAATTCTAAGAACTCACAAAAACAGTTCAGTTTCCTTTGACGTAATGGAAAGGTGGTTGATGGCTGTTTCATTTTTCTGCACAGAAAACCACTGTGTGATAAATTATATCCTAAATACATTGCTATAGTAAGTGTTCAGCATTCTCAAAAGAGTGCACAAGGGTAGAAAGTGCACTCTATTCTATAGTCAGACTGTTTTTAAATTCTTTTAAGGAATTAAAACGATAAAGTGAGCATTGCAAAGTAAATCTCCAAAACAAACTTTATTTCTAAGAAGACGGTTAGGACCACATAGCCACCCAGTTATAAAAACAACTTTTTGGTCGGTGTTATGTTTTGCAAATCTTCCCCTCAAAACATAAAAGGTGGAAGGGATAATAACAGTTTTACAGGGGTAAAATCTGTGCTAAATGGATGATTTGCAGCTCACCTACCATGGCAACTATTTGGCAAATTCACTGTTTACTCTCAATAATTTCAAAGGTGTCTTCAGATTCCAAAGAGTGTGGATTAGTGTGTATTAGTGAATAACAAATTCTTACACAGGAGAAAAATGTAAGTTCCCTTGAAGGCAATACACGCTTATTTTAGACTTAATTTATTTTTAAAATAGATTTGAACTCATTGCACGTGAAGCATACCCAAGTTTAAATATCTGTCACCATCATGCCACCTTCCAACTGGCAGACTAATGTTAAAATGTCACTGGAGGCTTTGGGGTTATTTAGTCCCTGCTGGTCACTTATGAAGTCTTATCCAGGGGTGAAATCCAGCAGGTTCTGACAGGTTCTGGAGAACCAGTAGCGGAAATTTTGAGCAGTTCGAAGAACCGGTAGCAGAAAGTTCAGAGAACTGACAAATACCGCCTCTGTCTGGCCCCAGAGTGGGGTGGGAATGGAGATTTTGCAATATACTTCCCCCAGGAGTAGGGAGGGAATGGGGATTTTGTAGTATCCTTCCCCTGGAGTGGGGTGGGAATGGAGATTTTGCAGTATCCTTCCCCTGCCATGCCCACCAAGCAACACCACACCCACCAAGCCCCGCCCACAGAACCGGTAGTATAAAAATTTGGATTTCACCACTGGTCTTATCTGTCTCAGTAACCTAAAAGTAGCATAAATTATCATCACCTCTATCTGAACTATAACCCTGTACATTTCTGTGTGCACAAACACAAACCACATTGTCAAGTTTCTGACAAAACCAGAGCAACAATGGTTGGAAAGAAAGGTGGAGCCAGAGATCAATGACGTTAACATATTTCTGTTCTTGCTCAGTCAGTTTTCTTGTATCTTGTACATTTTGCTAACATCTAAAGCCAGTTAATCTTGTAATAGTCTCTTGCCCAATTATTTTTAGATAGGTTGTTTTCTCTTCAATGCCGTTTCAAAAAAAAAAAAAAAAAAAAAACGGCTTCATAATTTTAACCAAATCATACCAAACCAAACTCTTTGAACACAGAGGCTGCAAACACACTTATTAGAGCATATGGGATTCCAAATGAAGCACTTTGAACCATGAACAGTTATAGTGCCTCAGACTGCCAACAGCAGAGCTTTAAACCCCTCACCTCCACTAAACAAAAGTTCCACTAAGGCAGTGTTTCTCAACCTTGGCCACTGGACGATGTGTGGACTTCAACTCCCAGAATTCCCCAGCCAGCAGAGCTGGCTGGAGAATTCTGGGAGTTGAAGTTCACACATCGTCCAGCGGCCACGGTTGAGAAACACTGCACTAAGGCCAAGTGGAGCTGTCTGACAGCATAATTAATCATAGGTAGAGTTTATGCAAAGGAGAAGTCACAAGTCATGTTCGGAACAAACTTGGCTTTTATTTGCATATGACACAATGAAAGGTAATGTGAGGGTAGGCGGGGGAGGAACATCAGGAAAATATGTGCACACTGGATATTAATACAAAATTAGAAGTTGATTCACACATGGTAAGAAAAAGGATGCCAGAAGACTGTCTCAGGTTTCTTAGATCCTGTTATTGCATATATTATTTCTGTTGAAAGTGTTATTAAATTTTGTTATTTTTTATTTAAAATGTGCTTTTTTCTTTTTTTCTTAAAAAAGAATGTTTATTTCCTAGGAGGAAAGAAAAATGTACATTTCCAATTTTCTATTTGTTATTGGCTGGCTTTAGTCTTATTGGCTTCTAAATCTGGGTTCCATCTGAGGGAAGAAAAACATTTTTTTCTGAAGGGAAGAAATAAATGCCTCTCTCCTCTCAGTTTTTTCATTTGTTTCCTCCTTTCCTTTTGCCTCGCCTCATAATATCTTTTTTTTTAAATTTCCTTCTTTATCTGACTTCCAGGCTTTGGCTCTATTTATTCAGCCTCTTTTTTCACAAGACCTGTGGTGGCTGAGCTCCCAGGCAGCCATCTTGCTTTCTCTCCTTCTTGCTTCCTATCCCACATTTCTATTTGATTAGCAATTGGTCATTGGAAAAAGGAAGAAAGCTTCTCAATTTTTGTGCTATCTTTAAGCTGAAGGAAACTAATTTGTTCATTTTGGAACTCAGCTGATTGTATATCAATATTATTCAATGATCTATTAATGTACTCTTTAAAAGACAATTCAAAAGGGAGGAAAAAAGGACACAGAGACAATCACCTTAACAATTAAAATTGATTATACTTTATTTAACTGGTTTGAATTTTCCCCCCGGCAAAATCTTCCAATCCCTTCTTCTACCTGAAACAGAATTGAATCTGACATTTCCTGAAGATCTTGGCCTTATAAACAATACACAGCAGTAAAAAGTAGATAATCTGCCATATTCATGAAAAATGCAGCTCATTTCTCTTCCCAATAGCAGCAATCTCACTGTCTAACAGATCATAGATTTTCTCTCTTCCAGCTAAAATTAGAAAACACAAAATTATTGTGAATTCAAGAAAATAATATGATTTAGGAACTTCCTAATTTTCATGGCAAAAATCTCCCATAACTACCAGGCGCAAAGAATTAAATTTAATAGCATTGCATGGAATGAATGTGTATATGTGTGCGTGCGTGCACACACACATACACACAGAGATACCCTATATAAACACATATGTAATATACAGGCCATAAGCAGAGCACACTTTTACAATATAAAGTACACCAAAGCATTCCTTTAACTAGTTATTTAAATGAAACAATAGTTTTATGTAACTCAAGAACAACAAATATTTCAGTTTAGATATTTCCCTTTTGTATTTTTAGTAATGCATCTGCTTGAGAGAGAAAGGCTACAAAACTAGCTTTGGGTTCAGAAATCCTGAGTTAATTCTATTCTATAGTCTTTTTAGAATAATATTCTGAAATCCCAGTGAAGCAGATTTTAAGTTATTTCCAAAACTGCCTGATTCTTAGTGCACTTAATTTTAATCTATTTCCATCAGAATATAAATTATATATATTTATGTGTGTGTGTGTGTGTTGAGGAAAAAACATATTATTTTCCTTCTAAATTAACAGAAAAAAATTTCTGTAATAGTCCTTAGTAAAATATTTGTTTAATGAAAATAGTGGAGGGAAATTTATATAAAGAACCAAATGGTCTTTCACAGATATAGAATTAGCATTATAATTAATAAATGTTAAGCTAGTCTTTCAAGTACAGAATGAATAAGTTCCCATTTTATATATATTCATTCAAGATTACTTGTCTTCAATCCCCACATACACTTAGGTGGGAATGAAACCCATCAAACTCAATGAGGTTTACTTTAGGGTCAATGTTCATAGCATTGTCTTCTTACTCACTCAACTATTCAAAAACCAGAATTTAGAATTCAGTTGTTCAATTCAATATAATTTATCTTATTTCAATAACTATAAATATATCTCTGAACTAGTACATTTAATTCCCTTTAGAAATTAAAAGTGTATAATTTATTGTCAAAGTTACTGATCACTTGTGAAAATTAAGATATTTGGCTTAGTATCTTTTTTCAACTTTGGAATTTTTGTTTTGTTTTTAGCTTCAGGAACGAATTGTATACGGTGTTGGGAATTATACTAAATATCATCTGGTTCCATTTCTAAATCTGCTATAACTTTACCTATTTTATAGTGTGTAAATCATTTACATACAGTAGAATAATATGTTGGAAATTTGTTGGAAATTAAGCTGGCTAAATACCTCATTCTTCTTGTAACCTAATTAATTACCTAGTAGTAACCTAGTGAGAGATGCCTCTGAATAAACCAACAGGAAAGAGGTTCCTTTCTCCTGCTCAGTTATGAAAGATAGAACTCTTGTACAACTGATACATTATGTTATGACCTCAAGAGTTTGAACAGAAATAGAGCCACTCTTGGGAGTTCTGAATCAAAGTTGTCCTCTCTAATCAAAACTCCAAAGACACTGTTAGGACCACAGTCAAAAAGCCTTAACGTCTTTCAGCAGAAGCACACTAGAAAGCAATTCTAAGTGAAAAAAACACAAAAATGATCATCTGAATTTCGAAAAGACAGGAGAGACACACTGTTCCCAAATGATCGGATAGCAAAGGAGGCCAGGGGAAATGAAGACATCTTCATCTTGCCTAGCACCAATGGAAGTTAGTAGTTAATGGATGCATACAGATGTATACAATTTCAGTGGCAAGCCCACTGTGGAAGCGCATTTACCACATTTATGACACACATATTATTTCTTCATATTTAACTGAGAACAAGCTAAATTTGGATTTATACAGCATTAATCAGCAAGCCCTTGTGTCACCCATGAAAGTATTTCTTTTTCTTGCATGTTACAGAGCAAGATTCTGCACATAGAATTAACTGGCTGAACCAAACTGCCATTTTTAAGAAATCAAAACCACCACCACCACACCAGGGAACATCTTTTAAAGAGCACCAAATATTTCAAGCAGATAAACATGAAGGTGTGATGGAAAGGTGGAAGGAATGAAAACAAAATGGGCAGTTTCCTTGGTGTGGGGAGGGGAGAAAGGCAAAAGGAGAGACCCAGCTTTTGATCTAGAGTCTGCAAAAAAATATCAGAGCTCAAAAATAACTCCTGTACCTCCAGCAGCTATCGTTCGGTACATCTGTAGGCAGCTAAAAGTTTCTGTACAAACATAACTAAATATAACACCAAGGAGACAGGTGAAAAGTTAGCAGGCATAATGAGAGGGAAAAACCTGTTAAAACTTGTTCAATGGGTGCAGAAAAGAGAGAAAAAGAATGGTCTGGATTCACATGTTGCTTAACAGGATACTTCCATAGTCTGAGGATTGCCATGGACTTCAGTAGTTTCAGCTATTCCCATGTTCACCTCCTTTAGGCTGCTGGCTTGAAACCGTGTTTGAGTGCCTTCTCCTGAACCTACACTTGAAGATGACTGGGTCCGGGAACGGATCAACCTGGTCATGCTTGCAGATGGCACTGTAAGGAGACAGGCAAGTGAATGCCAGAAATAATAAATGTTTTTTAACTGCCTCAGAGGTCTTATAATGGAGGAGGCACAAAGAAAAGGAGAGCTGCTGCTGAAAAGCAAATCAGGCATCACTCTGTTCACATTTCTTTAGTCTGTACTTGCTGTGGTAAAATGCAGGAACATTTGTATATAATAAACAGCTTAAACCTTTTTCTCATCTTCAGATCTTGCTTGCAAATAAACTTCCTTTTCACTCCTCCCTCCCAGTTGAGCTTAATTTTCACTTTTGCTTCTACTTGTAACTGCTTCCTTAGACATACCCGCCAACTACGTCTGTATTTTGCTGAAGAAGAGTTAGGAATAGTGTTTTTCCTACATATCATCCCACTCTCAGAATTGAAAGGGTTGTTCAAGCCTATGATCAGGGAACACCCTGATACAGTCAATCAGCAGAAACATTCTGTGCAAGGCAGTCATGCCCTCTCCACTCTATACATATACATATACCCATGAAGCTTTTTCAGAAACTTCAAATTCATATATCTGATTCCTGCACCACCAGCTAGCTGCAAACCATGCAATAGTCAAACCAAGGCAAATTAAACCACTAAAAAGGATTGTAGCACAAAAAGTGTACAATGAGATGGCCTAGAGTGCGAAAGATCACCAGGCCATGCTGTAAGCGGCATAATGCATAAGAAAAATGGAACTCAGCCAAACCAGACATATACTTGTAGATACCTGGCTCAGTGTTCAGGTGACTGAGCTGCATGTAAGGGACTGGAAGCAGAGATAAGAGAGGGAATGGGAAACAAAGTTAGGGAAGTTATAACAAACTTGAGACAATGTAAGCCTTGTCTGACCGTAAGCGTTTCCATATTTTGAATTCTATAGCTTTAAGAGTTGCTTAGTAAAACAATAAAGAATATTTTGGGCAATTTATAATATGTTTTCAATTGTTTGACTTTTACTGAACCTGATATTACTTTCTACATTGGAAAAAAGCTCATGCATATTACTTTACAGATAAACATTTTAAGAATACCCTACCATCACCTCTGCCAATAAAGTTATTGGTAAGAAAAACTATAATGATAATCTTTTAAGCACAGGTTAGATATTTCTCTCTCCAAAACAGCCTTTAGGAAACTAGAAAGATCCAAATCTATTCAATAGAGAACAAATCACTAAAAGGTAGAACTGTCATTCAAGGACTGATGATTAATACTCCTTTACAAATATCCTACTGTGGTAGATAAAACTATCTTATAGTACAATAATGTGTATGAATTTACGATGGCCAAAGTGCAGAATAGGATCTATGATTGAGAAATAAATAATCTCAATCACGTAATAGGCTCTAAATTGAAATTAATGCAAGGACAATATATTATCACTTACTATAACCCATTCCTTGAACGAAGTATTTGAAAGCTTCAGTTAGCTTCCCAGGCTGGAAAAGAAAAATAATAATCAAAAAGTATAAGCAAGTATTGCTATACACAATTTGAGGCATTGTTAATACATAATTAGATGGATATGATATATATTTGGGTGATTTATATATATTTGTTGATTTTCAGGATATTTTCCAGTCTAATTTTCTATTTTTTTTCTTTTATTGTTCATTTTGCTATTTCATAATTAATTATTTTGTCAGATATTACAAATTCTTTTGGTATTTTTTTTTAAACTGCAATTAAACATGACAATAAATGATTAGTTGGATATCTTTTAGATGCATTAAGTATGACAATTCCTAGAATAAGAGTTTACCTGAACAACTTGGGGCAATCCCCCACAATCTGCCATCTGGAAGAGAAAAGTGGATGGTTAAATTAAAAAAAAAAATAGTTGAGCTATAAATCTATTAAGTGATTCCATCATAGTACTATGATGGAGTACAGAGAGGCAAAAACTTCTATTTCCAAGCACATAACATTTTAAAATTGAAGTTTTTCATGTAAATACAGGTCGCTGGTGTACTGAAATGGGAGACAATGAAACATAACATTGGCAAAAAAAGGAAGAGACAAAATAGAGATATGAAACATGTAATAAATGCACTCACACCTACCCTTATACATACCTACTTGATTAGAATAAATAACATATCAAGACTTGTTCTTTTAAGGTGGAAGAGATTTGTGAACCATGTTAGCTGAAAATTTATAAAATTAATACTGGAGGGTTGTAAACATATAATTCCCTAGATGTCTCTACAGGAAGTTCTCGCCTTACAACAATTGGGACTGAAATTTTGGTTGCTAAGCGATATCGTAAAGTAAGACATCACATGACTATACTGCTTAGCAACCGCCAGCAACCAGCCTGGCAATCCCTACTGCCATTGTTATGTGAATTTTACCAGTTGTTAGTGGAGAACCCATCCCAATCCAAGCCATTCTGGGTTTAGTCCCACCTATCTCTTCCACTATTCTGCCCTTTCAGCTGCCCAGCTGTAGGGCGGCAAGTGGCTCCAGATCCACCATGCTCCAGGAAACTGCAGGCACCCCAGTCCAGTCCCAATTGCCTTGCTAAACTGCACTTTGAGACCCCTGCTGCCATGTGCTTTGCCACCCAGGCTCACGTTTGCTACCATTTTCTTGCTTCTGGCCTTTGTTCCTTTTTCACAATGCAAAACCATCCCCAAACAGTCCAGGAGTATGGCAAAAAGTAGTATTTTGGCATGTTCTAGCTCTGGGAGAGGCTACTTTGTGCCTCCCCCTTTTTTTTTTTTCCCCATCATGCAAAGCCACCTCATATGTCTCAGCTGCCAGGCCAGACATGTTTTATCAGCAGCGGGGACAAGGTGGTGGGGGTAACCTGGGGCACTACAGGGCAGGGTGGTAGGGGACCAAAAGGGCACAGATGTGGGGGAAATAGATGGGTGGGAGAATTGCAGCACCCCTGTGGTTGTAAGTATGAGTAGACTGCCAAGCACCCTAATTTTTATCACATGACCATGGGGGCACTGCAGTGGCTATAACTTTGGGCATGGGTGATAAGTCGTTTTGTTCAGTGCCTTCATAACTTCTAGTGTAATTTTAAACAGTTGCTGAATGAATAGTTGTAAGAATCCATTCTTCCCACAATCCCCTTCTGTAGACTTCATATAAAGCCCACAGTAGGGGATCACTTGTCATCAGAGAAGTCTTTAATTTTTGGTTACCTTCAGGAGTGTTGTATTTATTGGATCTAGGCGTGAATTGCATTCAACCTACGAAACACAAAATAATGCATATATATAGTTATTGCTGACAAACTAACTATAATTCAAAGCCCTCCCTAAGAAGCCAATGCCTCAACAACAACAGTATCTATGGATTAGAAGCAAAGCTTAAAACTAAAATACTATAGTTACAGTCACTAATTTTAAAGACAATATTCCTGTCTTTCCTGTAAATAAGGATTTAATTTCAGATCTGACTGCTAGCATCAGACTGCTAGAACATGTCAGCAGCTATAGTGGCAAATTGCATGTTGGACTCAGATTTATGTTCAATACCCACCCAGTCCAAAAATTCACTGGGCATGTCTCTATTTCACAAACTAATTTTTACACAATTGTTATCAAGATTGTTATCAAGAAAAAAGAAAGGAAAATCCCATGTACTCCGCAACATGAAGAGTCTAATGTGGATGAGAGTAAGAATCCTTAAACCTTTAGGAAGTGACAAATCCAATTTATATGGCCAACTCCCTCAGAGATGCTTTTGGCATTTGCTTTGTCTATATATACAACATGGAGACTAAATCAACTCAGAGAAGTACAGGAAAGCATGCAATTTTAGATCGTCTCCATTGAAATCACAAAGTGCTATATGGTTCTCAATATACAAATATTTTATTATTACTATTTTGAAAGGAAGATTCAAACTTCTTTAGATACATATTAATAGAATAGAACAGATCAGAACAGAACAGAACAGAACAGAATTCTTTATTGGCCAAGTGTGATTGGACACACAAGGAATTTGTCTTTGGTGCATATGCTCTCAGTGTACATAAAAGGAAAAAAAGAAAAAATACATTCATCAAGAATCATAAGATACAATACTTAGTGATATAGGTTACTAATAAGCAATCAAATCATACTAGGAAACAGAACAATATAAATTGTAAAAATACAAGCAACATGGTTATAGTCATAAGTGGGAGGAGATAGGTAATAGGAAGGATGAGAAGAATAATAGTAATACAGTCTTAGTAAATAGTTTGACAGTGTTGTGGGAATTAGTTGTTTAGCAGAGTGATGGCATTCAGGAAAAAACTGTCCTTGTGTCTAGTTGTTCTAGTCATAACTGTTGAGATCCCCCCACTTAGGAACCTTTGCTTGTATCTTATATCTTAAAATACAGAAAATTGCCTATATTAAACTATTATAGTATATTATTAAAATGCAGATAAATTATTTGCACGCTTCAAATAAAGCAAATTCCAAATTTAGAAAATTTTACTTCCTCCAGTAAAAGAAAATTTGAAAAAGTCTAGATGAAATTACAGCATGATAATGAGTTGAGGAAATGACCAACTAATGATTAGGTTACTTACCACAGCCTCAACTGCAGGAGAGCTGTCTCCAACTACTAATAAGGCAGGGCACCTGTAAAGGAGTCACAGTTTAGCATTATAATCTATACCAATGATGGCTAACCTTTTTGCCATCGTGTGCCAAAAGCTGGGGGAATGCGGGGTGGTCGTGGGCATGCGTGCCCACACCCATAATTCTATGCACCCTGCCCACCCCCATGCGTGCGTGAGTGACCCCCCCATGGTCCCCTCACTTTTGGCATGTGATGGCACAGTGGGCCCATTTTTTTGCCCTCCCCAGGCTCCAGAGGCTCTCTAGGAGCCTGGGGAGAACAAAAACAGCCTTCCCCACCTCCCCGGAGGCCCTCCGAAGGCCAGAAACAGCCCGTTTGCCGACTTCCATTGGGCCCAGAAAGCCCATAAATCAGCTGGCCAGTGCACGCATGCGTGCTGGAGCTGAGCTAGGGCAACGCTCGCGTGCCCATCAATATGGCTCTGCGTGCCACCTATGGCACGTGTGCCATAGGTTCGCCATCACGGATCTATACAATCATCAGCTGAGTTTTCTGCAGGTTCCAAAGCTTTGTCAAATGCCAGAATTAACTGTGTGCTATCACAATGCAAATTCCATCCCTTATGTATGTGCAAAATGATTATGTACAAAATGTGGGGGATGTGCTGCAATGCTTTCATCATTTGCCACTCTGTGATGTTCCCTATAGATATATCTGATTAGCATTAACACTATCTTCTGTTGTCAAAATCCTGCTTTTTAATCTTTTGATCATGCTCACAACTGGATCATGTTTTAATAGTGCAACATTAAATCAGAACATATAGGGCACGGGTGTCAAACTCGATTGCGTCATGGGCCAGATTATGACGTATTGCAATGTTTTTTGCCTTTGCAGAGCTGGGGTGGGCTTGGCTTGCGTGTGATGTATCCGGCCCGTGGGCTGCCAGTTTGACAGGCTTGATACAGGGCATCAAAACACGTTCATTCATTTCAATGGGGACAGAGCCTTATGAAACAAGTCTTCCCAGTCTTGCTCAGCATTTGTTTACAATACATAAACTAATATATATTGGCCATAAAGTCCTCAAACACTTTGCCATATATCAGAGCATCAATTCTAGCTGTTATTTATACAGATAGTTTGAAGGGTAGCAGCATTGGGTATAGTGAAAGGAAAACACAAGCCTCCCTAAACATAAAGACTGCTCTGAATAAAAGGCAGGTGTGGAGGTTGGAAAAAAAAAGGGCTAAGGAAGATGTCAGAAGACAACAAAGAGAAGTCTACGGAGAAAACACCTGCTGGATTACCTCATCAAGCAAACAAACCCCCACCTCCTCCATTTCTATACTGCCTGGCTGGGATTCAGCTTATTGCCCTGGCAGAGAAAAGAGCAGGTTCCTCATGCTGGAAAGTCTTACTCAGAATAAAGGAAGGGGCCCTCGTTAAGTTAGGAGTTGTTTATAGGCTCACAGCCGAAGCTGGAAAACTTACTCAGACTACTGGTGTGAAAGCAGAACAAGCTTCAAACTGCTGCCGCCACCAGATCCATTTACTTTCCTGGTTAAGTACATGTTTTGAGCATTAGTCTGAGCTCTAAATTTGGACTGCTGAGTCCCCAAAGAGTCTGTTTTGTTTTCAGTCCCTTTCTCTGAATGTTCAAGGGACTAAGAATAATAAACTTCAGTAGATTCTTGGAGAGCTCAATGTTTCTGTTGCTTTCTAGTCAGTTCCCCACCTCTCTGTTACAAGAGTCTCTGCCATGCTGGGGAAACACACTCAGCATGATGGATTCATACAAACATTTCTTCGGGGCAAAGATCAACTCTGCAATTCACCATTCAGCAGAAGGCTTATGAAAACTAAAAACTCAGCCCTCACAAACAGTTTTTAAATATCTTGTATGTGCCTGTAGTGCACACATATGTACATGTAATATATGTAATTTTATATGCAATATATAAAATATATAAAAAGGCACCTGATGTAATATAAATAGGAAAGAAAAATTGAATACAAGATTATTTGGCTTGCTACTACGTCTATCAAAAGCATTAGAAAAAGTGAGGGAAGGGAAGTAACTTTTCCAACCAAAGGAAATATAGGCGGGGGAAAAAATCCACCCAGTTTCAAGCAATATGGTTAAAAGACAGTCAAAAGCATCTTACTTGAGTGTTTTTGCTGCTTCTTCATTCATACCCAAGATTGGTCTTTCAATATCCAGATCTCTACGACTTGAAGGCAAAGAGAGACCTATTTAGTCTATTGTGATTGAAGAACATGGATCATGGATCTCTCACATTGTATCTGACTTGGAACTCATGTCTAGCTTGATGAAGGAGCCCTTTCTAAACATTCTGTTTCTAAAGGGATACTCATGTGCTGCTTCTTTTGTAAACAAAAAAAAAAAAAGAAAGCAGAAAAAAAAAAGCAGAAAAATATGAAGAGATAATTAGAAGAGGTTTTGTTGTGGAGAAAAATCTACAACATTACGACTTTATGGAAATAAAACAGGAAATTTAAGACAAAAAAGAACAAGAATTTTCCCTAAACTATCTTGCAGGCCTTTTACAATTGAAATTAAGGCTAAATATACTGATTTGTGAATGTGCGTTATCTGCTGCTTAACACATTATTTATACTTTCAAAACTGGAGTGGAGAAAATAAAAGAGTTTTCAGTGTGGATCCAAAATAGACACATTACCTGTTATAGGAGGTAACAAAGAGCTGAAGGTTTTCCTGATTGATGTCTTGTGCAATGTGAAGTCTGTATGTCTGAATTAGGTCCAGATTAGCCTGCAGTTCTTCCTGAGGAATGACAAATATTATAATTATTTATCTGGTTAATTGTATTATAAAACAGTAAGCACACTTCAGCTATCTTGTAAAAACTAAGAAGATAAATGTACACTGCAGACTACAAGCAGGTAAAAATCAGCTTGCATATCAGCAGAAGGTTTGAGTTCCAGTTTACATTTACTATCTATTATAGTCTTCTGCCACACCTATCTCAGGAATAAAACTTAAAATTATGAAAGCATAAGCATTCTTATAAACAATTTCTGTGCTAGGAACAAGAACAGTTCATTAATATATGTGAAGTTGATTATATATATTGGTATTTTCAATATTAAAACTTGTAATTAACTTACATGGCCAAAATGGTGAGCTAAAACAATATCCACAAGGTTAGTTGTCCATCCAGAAAACTGAAAAAAAGAAACCAAAATTACATATTGGCACTGCTCAGTTTTATATTAACACGTCCTGCTTTTTCACATGCTATTTCATCCATCTGTAATTCTAGCATTAAAAATACATGCAGATATTCTCTCTAAATCATGCACCGTTTGACCTAAGGCCAGGTTTATGGCTGAGAGAAACCCTATAATACAGCTACATAAAATGTATCAAAATACATTTCAGTATGTCGAACCAATAAAGCCACTTCTGTATTCTTTCATCTTCCTTTGGGTTTAGAAAAGAAAAAAAAAGTGATAGTCCAAAACAAATATTCAGTGTTTTTTGAATTTCTAGTCATGTCAATATTATCACCTTGGTCACAAAACAGAGAGTTCCATCCTACCTTGGATGCTGCCCAATCTATCCAACCTTTTGCGCATGGATCAATATTAATTAGCACTAAGCCTTCTACCAAGTCTGGATGATTCAACTAAAAACAGAAATGGAAAATATTAAAGTTTTACTTTTCTGACTGTTCGTGCTGGAATTCTATATTCTATAAAATTCTATAAATTCTATAAAAAAATATTTTTATTATGACAGTATAATAAATATATCAAATAAATATATAAACATAGGAAATAAACACATTTATTGTGGGAAGTATCATGTATGCCACCTTCAGTTGTACAAAATAATCCAATAATAAACTATAAACTATGAGTAAAAAGGAATAAAACATAATTTTAAGGTGACCAGCAAAAAAGGCCATGGTGTTGGAGAATATAACTTAGAACACAAGGAAATGCTGGCAAGTTTATAGTGATTTTCAAAAGTAAATGCACTCTTTTTTATAAGATGACGATGCACTATTTTTTTTTTCAATAGCATGATAATCATAATCTTGAATTAACTGCCTCAAATTTACTCAATATTTTACAGCATTCATACCACTAAAGAATGAGACTGTTTTTGCCACTATTGCCACTATGGGCATTTTCATTTCATTTCATTTCATTTTATTAAATTTGTATACCGCCCTACTCCCAAAGGACTCAGGGCGGTGAACAGGCACAAAATAAAACACATAAATACAAAAGTTAAAACATGATTAAAACCCAATTAAATAATGTCCTTCTCACTACTACATGTATCCTATGTTTGGATTCTACCTGGACATCTAGCGCCTAAACAGACTTAATTTGCTGAAACAAAGAAATGAGCACAAATGCTATTTACCGCAAACTTGCTGAGAATATAGGCACCAGCTCCAACTCCTATTCCAATTACACTTTTTAGGCTGAAAAAAAGTTGAAAATGAAGAGAATCCCTTAGTATCCTTTCTATTAGCAGGACCCATCACATTTATGTAACCTTAATATCATACCATTTATACAATTTTCCTTTGTATGATTTTAAGAATCATACAAATAATTTCATAAGAAATAAGAAATAAGAAAGATTCTGCAAATGGCATCTGAATAAACTTTACAACCATTGGCTTTGTTGCAATATGATAACAGCTGTTCTTTTTCCTCTGGACAACATCAAAGAAAGGCTATTTAGCATCTGTGATTGTTAATAAAGGAAAGTCAGCATTATTCTGCATACTTGCCTCAGGTGCATAAGAACAGCAGGAAGCATTTCAGCGAGTTCATCAGTACTAGGATACTGATATCTGAAATTGGAAAAGATGAAGTTGACATAAAAGGACTTTATTCCAAGGCTAGCTCATCAAATATATGCCATTTTGCAAGGAGATTTCAACAGTTCCATAGTAATAGATTCTAGGACATGGTTAATTAAAGTATGGATTTGTAGTGATCAAAAGACTTTCAACTCAGAGGCCTAAAGGTCTCACAAAAGAGTTGTCCCACCAATAACATTTCTACATACATTTACCCATGGCATTATTCTTACTTGTATTCCTGTATCTCCCAAATCAGTACTGTATCTATTTACATGCATTAAGCAAATACAGGAAATCTGGCTATTCCCCTATCTATTTCAATTTTAAACATTGTGGATCAAAGGAATATTACTACACTTACCCAGAAGGGAAAGGAGGAGCCCCCTCTTGTTGTCCAGGTGCATCAACATGGCATACAGCAAAGTGTTGTGTGATTTCCTGCATGTCTTCAAAATTGAAGAAAGTATTGAAGCAGGACTTATCTGTAAAACAAACCCACAAAATGACCATGAAAGCACCACTCCAGTTCCTGATTCTTACTTTGATAAATACAAGTTAAGACTGGTAAGGTTCATGTTTGTTTTCTAGTTATGGTAAATTAAAAGAACTGCTTCTGCATCAAACACTTCTATTCTGAAAATATGAATACAACATAGTCAGTGAGTCAACATGAAAATACCATGAAAAAAAGGACTCACGGTTGAGGCCAATATCATGATACGTTAGGATGACGGGTCGATTGCCTTTTGAAGTGCCTCGCATAGTGACATGGACAACTCCATAAGCTGTCTCTATATCATGCTCCTACAGAACGAAATGTCAATTTTGAGATTAAAGAGGAATAATCTCTACACAGAAAACATGACATAGTCCCTAGTATATAGCTCAAAAACTGAGAACATCAGGGAATAAAAAGGACATTATTTAATCTGAAGGAAAAGCCTCCTGATTAAAAAAAATGATTCTATAAATCTTTTTACAAAGTTCTCATCAAATAGTGAATTTTAAATTTCAAGAACTGCTCAAAGAAAAGAATTTTATATAGAGGTTGTTAAAACAGGAAAAGTACTCTTTTGTACTCTTTCAGTTTTCATTCAAGAAATAAACATTGCTGTAATGGGCATGCTTAGATATTCTGTTTAGAGTATGCTACAACTCTAATAGAAGTTAAAGAACCTTCTCAAAGAATTTGTGCCTATATTATAAAAAATAGATTATGCCAAACAATTGATTTTACTCAATCTCATTAACTCTGTTTTGTCCAACTTTGATCCAGCCTATATGCTACAACCACAAGAAATCCTTCCGTGTAATTCTTTATTGGGCCAATATATTGGAATACTTTTGAAATATTTTCAAACTACAATACTTCCATACAACGGACACTTTCTGGCTGCATATGATCACTTACTTTCTAAATGCTTTGTGTCTTAACAGAGCAACAACCACATAGAAATCCTTCTCACCTATAGCATTATTAAGATTTGAAAAATCCTGACAAACAGGAGCAAGATTCCATCTAATACGTAGATTTACTCTTTTACACATTTTACTTAGATTCTGAATAAACAGTCGAAATGCAAAACTACGTTGTGAAGTAAAAATCATGCTAAGCTAGTTGCTCAAATATAAACTAGCACAGTAAATTAAATTATTCAAACTCACACAGGGCAAAACTATTAATAGAACAGCAACAGTCTATGCAAGCAATGCTGGTTTCTATGGTATTCTATATAAATAGATGAAAGTGTAAATCTAGAATGATTACTTTGTGAAATGTAAGCCAATTATGTACACAATGACTCCAACAACTCAAGATGTGCCAAAGAGTAGAGTCCAATCAGGATTTTTGTCTGAACATATTCTAGCATGTGAATACAGAATATTGTTCAACCAACAGAATAACTTTGCTTAGGCTCCATATTTTTTACATGCATTTTTAGATGATTACTAGACAACCCATAACTATTAGGACATAATTTCAGAGATATTTCTGTATCTAATACTTGCACATCCCCGTGTACCCTTCCTTGTCCTCGATATACCTCCCTCATGGCCAACCAAGTGATAAATCCAGTTAATTTTATGATTTTCTCTTTTTTATACAGTATATATCTAATCTGTTTTATACCACTGAGTGGTATAGAATAATCTCTATTCTACAGCTTCAAAAAAACTTTTAGGTGAATTAGCAGAAAAGAAGATGTCCAAAGCATGACAAGTCCCTTGGATCACCATCTTTAAAGCACTCCATGGCTTAGGACCTGGGTACTTACGAGATCACCTTCTGCCACTGATAGCCTCCCACCGACCAATACGCTCCCACAGAGAGGGATTCCTCAGGGTGCCGTCGGTCAAACAATGTCGACTGGCGACCCCCAGGGGGAGAGCCTTCTCTGTGGGGGCACCTGCCCTCTGGAATGAATTGCCCCTGGAGATTCGTATGATCCCTGACCTACATATCTTTCGCCGTGCCCTTAAGACTCTACTGTTTCAACAGGCTGGGCTGGCTTAAGAATGGATTTTAATGGGTGATTTAGTTTTTAATATAGGGCCAAACCATTTAATATGTGTTAAACTGTTTTTTAAATTTTATAGATACACATGTTTTAGTATGGCTGTGCACCGCCCTGAGTCCCTCGGGAGAAGGGCAGTATAAAAATGTAAATAATAAATAAATAATAAATAAATAAATAATAAATTCCAAAACAACAGCTAGTAAATCTTCTGAAACTTAAAATAACTGAGCTTTCTGGCAACTAGGATATAGACATATTTCTTTGTATGTATTTCTAAAATTAGAGTTGTCATTACATTATCTTTTAATATCAACATAATTTTGTAACTAAATTAAAACATTGTTAATAAATTTCATAAACTAATCATTCTATATAAGCGTAACAGATATTGCACTGTTATGAAGGAGGCTTTGCATTCTTTTGTTGCATAGGGCCATGTATTTCCCTTGGGAAAAAGAAATATCTTTTTAGCAAGGAAAGGATTCCAGACAGAATTTTAGTTTATCAATGTCAGGCAAACAATATTAAGGCCCATAGTTTAATAGCTATAAATTTGTAATTCGGGGATTACAAAATAAGGTGACGAAGAGATTGTTCCCAACTACTGTAAACTATTTTATATTCCTTAATAAGGTCATGAAGCCCAAACAAATTTATGCATTATGGTCATATGCATTTCAATGTGCCTTGTTTTCTATGTCATTATGAAGATTCACTCTTTAGTAATATTTAACATTGTGCAAAGAAATACATTTCTCTATTCTGTATATCTTTGTCAAAAGGTACCTATCAACATGTCCAACATATCATTACTTTTTGAGGTAAGCAGTTGCACAAAATAGAAAAAGAGAATATAAAAAAATTATTCAAAAGGTAACCAAAAACATACTTTGGAATAATCATAACATAAATCTCCCAAAACACAATTCTTTAAGATCTAAATCAACAATATTTATTTGTTGCATCTGCTTTCCTCCAAAATCAATAAAGGTGTTAAATATAACCTTCCTAGGGGGGCTTCTAAAAATTAAGTCAACTGGAGAGTCACTTGACCACTGCAAAATGGCCATAACATTGGACACAACTCACTTAAAAACCATATTGCTTAGCAACAGAAGTAGATTGATGACTACCTGCCACATAAATAAGTGTCCTTTCTTCCTTGCTAAATCATAGCACTATCATAATCTAAATTGGTAACAGATATTGTAATAAAAAAGAATGGTTCTTCCATGGTTATAAAAGGCAGTTTTAAAGATTTTTAAACCTAATAAAATCAGACTCCAAATGTGATCTGAGGAGAAAATTGATTTCAAAGATTTAGAGTTAGATAGGAAAAGAGTCCAAAATGTGATATGGCCATACTGAGATCTGGGAAAACAGCCTTAACAGAAATGTATATTTGCATCTGAGAAATACTTTATACAACTGTAGCAATGTAACCCTCATTTCGATTCATAAGTTAATGGAAAACAATCTTCTCCAAACCAGACTTTTGTAGTTTAATGGCAGATACATTTTTTCCCAACATGCAGATAACCAAAATGAGTATAAGGGAAGCAATGGCCTACAGCTTTCTCAATTTCATCTCAACAATTTATCTTAAAAATAAGAAGACTGACAAAGCAGAAACATTCCAGTATGAGTACTTACTTGACAGTCAAAGTCCTGGAAGTTTCGAGCTGAATTCTGTCAATATAAGAATGGCCACTGATCAACAAACCATAAACTTTGCTTTACACCTGTTTGAAAAGCTTATTCCAACACTTCAGTTACAACTAAAAGTATAGTACTGATCCGACGCTTCCTGTATTAAATTGCAATAAACAAGTGCACAATAGTAACAATTCCCTCACCCCACCACACCCCACTAGAAATCAATCTATTCCATATCATGATGGAAATGTCAGGATTTCTAACATCAAACTGGATATTCTCAAGGAACAAATTCTTCCAAATTTTAAGATAAAGTTCTTGGCCATAAATTTAAGTTTTTATCTTCAACTGTATTTTGAAAGACATCAAAATTATATAGGCTAAAAGTATGCATACATTACAGCAATGGGACTACTGCTGAATAATGGTTGCTTTGCATATAAAATGTTTCCAAGAATTATCATTGGAATGACACCTTATAAGGCTGAGGTCCCCAAACACCGATCCATGGACCAGTACTGGTCCGCGGTTCATTGGGAATGGGCCACGCAAGTCGCAAGTGAGTGTGTGAAAAGTCCATTTGCGCATGCACGGGATTAAGTTGGGCGTGCAAAACCATCCCCTCCCTTTCAGCTGTTACACTACATTTCCTTCCAGATTTTCTTTTTAAAAAATCATTATTCACACACACAAAATTTATATACATGGATATACCCCTTGAAAGTGTACTAATTTTAAATTTTTAGCTAAAGAAACTTCATCATAAAAATAAAACAATACTGTTTAAATTAACCTAATTTGTTTACTCAGGTAACATTCCTTCTATGCAGTCTATACAGAGCAGTTAACCTAATAAACAGCATAAAATCAAAACAAAATAAAATCCCTTTATTTTGGGATATCTATGTATCTGAAACTCTGCATAATACAAAATAGAAATCAATATTTTGTATAAATATATTCCAAGATCATTGCACAATATATTCTGTTTATGTTACCAATTAGAAGGTCATGAGAGACAGTTTGGTCTAGTGGTTATGGCAGTGAGCTAGAATGCGAGAGATTGTGAGTTCAAAACCTGTCTAAGCATAAAAAAAATCATCTGGATGACTTGGAGACAATCATTCTCTTCTAAGGAAGGTGTGTTGGATATGTTTACTGCCTTGAGATATTTGTAAAATAATAAAGATGAACTATGTGGGCAATAAATCCACTGGAGTTTTTCCCCCTACCTTTGAAGATTTCACTAAAAATATGCCTGGACATTTATAAATATTTTTATAGCAATTATTTTGCCTTTGATGTTTTCAAGTAGACTTCAATCAACAAAAGCTTAACCATAATAGATCTGTTTGCTTTGAAATGCCACAAGACTATTTGAAATCAATATACATGGCACTTCAGTGAGCAACAGCAAAGACTAAGAGCTTGCTCCATGAAATCTGAAACCTAGAATTTGTTTCAGGGAAGCAAGAAAGAAAGGTTTGGGAGAAGAATTCTCTGTCTACACTAAATATAGGAACTTTCAAGAGTTTCAATGGACCTTCTCAGTGAATTAAATTCTACATCCACAGGAGAAAACTGTAATATATATTCCTCCTACACAATAATTCATACTCCGCCTAGCTGGCATGTAGTACAAAATTGTTAGGGGTTTTCTCATGCTCAAAACAACTTTCTTTACCTTATTATTTAAGAGAGGTTTAATTTCTGTTAACTGGACATCTTGCAATTCATCCATGTTTGCTGAAATCAATGAGATTCACTGCTGAACAGCAAAGTACTCCTCCTAAAAGCAAAACAAACAAACAAACAAAAGGTTTACAATGCAGGAAATGATCCCAGATCAAAATAGAATATTTTAAACTATAGACTATGATTCTCAAACAGTTAGAGGCTATGTTGAAGCCTCTAGAAATAGTAACTTCTTCCTCTTTTCACAAAGATGAATGCAGGTCTGGCTGAATCATAAACATAAGATGATATTTCTGGAAGAAGATCTAAACATTTAAATCAGACAACTACTTAGATACTCCATGCCTCATATTTTCTGTAAGATAGCATTACACAAAAATAGCAGTGTAATGCAATTTAACTTTCTTAATATTCAAGGTTAAGTATTATGCATTTAGTAACAGCTAAGGGAAATAAAAAGAGTAATTATATGAAACAAACAAAATGTTAAAAAGCTATTATATTTATGTAGTTATATCTAAATTATATTAAAGTAACCAAAATATCTTTACAAACCCCAAGGCATATCACAACTTTTGAGCACAACTAATGTTTGGAAATTAAAAGTTGAAAAATTTGACACACCCTATAAAATTTCGCTTACTGGTATTTTATTGCTGTGAAAATGTTTACAAGTTGATTTGAGGTCAACAAAACTGAGAAATTAACAATTTTGCCTTGCTTAGTTTTTCCTCTATTTCATCTTTTAAGCTAGTTCTAGTTTGTATAAATTTAAGATTACAGCAGGAATATAAAATAAAAGCCCAGAAAGCATCTTCAATATATTTTAATAAAGTTAATTTATTATTGATAAATTAAATTCACATTATTTTTACAATTATTCTTCAATTTTAAAACTACAGTAGTAAAATTAGTAAATCAATTTTTGCTAGACCCAAATGTGTTGTTGACTCTTTTAGAAAAATTTAAATCAGAAACAGGAAGCAGTTTAATGGCCAGAGCTAAAATTTTTGGGGAAAGGGACAACAGCGGTGGGAGCTTGATTATGCAACTTTAGGAGTCATTAGGTGAGTCTCTCTTCAATCCATTTAAAAGGAAAATTACATGTTTCCAGCTTTGTAAAATCTTTTCCCCCTGGTATGCAGCAAAAGGGCGATTATAATGTTATTTTGGGAAAGTCTTGCAAGTTTTGGATGAAATTGATTTAAAAAAGAACTTTGAAGTTAATTAGAAAGATAGTCCCAAAAGGGAAATCTGTCCTATAGTATTTGCATTTCAAACTAATAACAAGTCTTTGAAGGTTGGTCATTAGAAGACATCGGATGGCTACTTTAAAGGAAACTGATCTATGGATTTAAGAAATGCTTGAGCATTTTAACTCTACATTGGAACCAAAAATTATGAAAGAGGAACAAGTCCCTCTGAAGACAAAAATGGACTTTAAAATGGATTAGGAAAGAGATGGAAATATTGGATTTTAAATGGAATAGGATGACCATTTAAAAAATATAAAAGACATACAAATAATATATCAAAAGAGCCATGTGGATTATCCTTTTAAATCAGAATATAAGAGAGATATTGAAGTTATAATTTCTACATTGAAATTACAAATAGATTTGAATAAAGATGACAAGAATTTTTAGAATAAAGATAGTAGAAGAAAATAGGAGTTAGAACTTAAGAATGGCTGTAAGGAAAAAGAAAAAAAATATGTTTTTATTGTGGTTAAATAAGTTGCTATCTCTGATTATGCTTAATGATTATCTTGATTGGATAAGTATTTTTGTCAGAGAAATAATGAACTGGGATAATAGATTTTTATTTATCTATTTATTTTTGTCCACTTTTATTATTTTTACAAACAACACAACACACCTTCCTCCTCCCGTTTTTCCCATAACAACAATCTTGTGAGGTGCGTTGGATTGAGAGTGACTGCCCAAGGTCAGTGGCCAAAGGTCACTCAGCTGGTTTTTAGTGGGGAGTAAAAACTCAAGATTTTCCTGGTTTCTAGCCTGGTGTCTTAATCACTATACCAAACTGGCTGTTTTTGGTTTGCAATATCTACGTATAGATAAATAAGGGGCTATTATTTCTGGTAATGTTTATTAGTTTTAAATGTTTATAATGTTTGTTAATTGCATTAATTTTGATTATTAAAAAGAGGCATGAGGGAGATTTAGATTAAATGGAAAGGGGGATTATATACTTATAGTGTTAGGTGTTTTTGTTAAGTTTTTACTGAACTTTTGCTGATTAATAAGGAAAGCTAAACATTTAGAGATGAGATTATAGAAAATGGGGTGAGTTATGGAATGAAGATGTATTTGTTTGCATTTTAAGAGACAGTGATCAATTGTTAAAGTTGGAATATACGTTTTGAGGTTGAAGAGGAAAACATCTTTTGCTTACAACTTCCCTTTTTTCTTTTTGCAGGGGATTTGTTTCTACAAATTTGTTTCTTTTTAATATTTATTTTTCCTTTTTTAAAATATATATTTTTGTATTAAGTTCTTGTATTAGTTTTATCTGTTTAATAAAATTCTTAATAAAATTTATTGAGAAAAGACTGTTTGATATTTCTTTTTCATATAAGACTCTGTGTTGGATTACCATAATCATGATTTTGCTAGCAAGTGAAATTAAGGATATTGTACGGTAGTTTGCATACTTTGTTAACTCTCTTATTTTTTGATATTGGAATGGACATAACCACTTTCAAATCTGTTGGCCACTGTGATGTTCTCTAACTTTCCCGGCACAGCTTGGTTAGAACCTTTATTGATTCTTCTGATACTTGCCACATTTCTGAGTATTCCATCAGTTCCTGTAGCATTCCAAGTAATCACTGGAGTGCTGATCTAATTTTATCTTCTAACACTAGAAGTTTTGGTGAGAAAGGAATTTCTTCTAACGTATATGTTTCTTATCTCTGCTGCCCCATGTAGGTTTTTGCTTGCTTGCTTTAGCTTGGGAGCTGGTTTGACCTTTAGGAGTGATCCAGCTGAAAATGTATATACGGTACTTGACTTCTTTACTCATCTCTCCTAGAAACACTGCTCCCCCCACCACAATGAAGCAGCACGGCAGGAATTGGGGCAGTATCCAGTTTTGCTCATTAAAACAGTGCCTGATTGCTCTAAAGTATTATCTATCACTACTGGGTAGGTACAGACGGGATGATGGAGGCCGGTCTTGAGAATGTCATTTGGGAGGAGTTCGATCCTGTTGCTCCCAAGGACGTGGACAGGATACTGGGGTGGCTGAATGCTACCACATGTTTATTGGACCCGTGTCCCTCCTGGCTGGTACTGGCCTCCCGGGAGGTTACGCGAGGCTGGCTCCAGGGTATTATCAACGCTTCCTTGGGTGAGGGTGTCTTGCCACCAGCCTTGAAAGAGGCGGTGGTGAGGCCCCTCCTCAAGAAGCCTGCTCTAGATCCGGCTGTTTTGGCTAACTATCGTCCGGTCTCCAACCTTCCCTTCATGGCGAAGGTTGTTGAGAGTGTGGTGGCACGACAGCTGCCTGGGTACCTGGATGAAGCTGTCTATCTGGATCCACACCAGTCTGGCTTCAGGCCTGGGCACAGCATGGAAACGGCATTGGTCGCGTTGGTGGATGATCTCTGGAGGGCTCGGGATAGGGGTTGCTCCTCTATCCTGGTCCTATTAGATCTCTCAGCGGCTTTTGATACCATTGACCATGGTATCATGCTGCGCCAGTTGGAGGGGCTGGGAGTGGGGGGCACCGTTCTACGGTGGTTCTCCTCCTATCTCTCCAACCGGACGCAGTCAGTGTTGGCAGGGGGGCAGAGATCGACCCCGAGGCGCCTTGTGTGTGGGGTGCCGCAGGGATCGGTCCTCTCACCCCTTCTGTTCAACATTTATGTGAAGCCGCTGTTCAACATTTATGTGAAGCCGCTGGGCGAGATCATCCGTGGCTTCGGGGTGGAATTCCATCAGTACGCTGACGATACTCAGCTGTACATCTCCACCCCAGGCCATCCCAACGATGCCCTTGAAGTGATGTCCCTGTGCTTGGAGGCCGTGCGGATCTGGATGGGGAGTAAAAGGCTTCGACTCAACCCTTCCAAGACCGAGTGGCTGTGGCTTCCGGCGTCCCGATATAGCCAGCTGGCGCCATCACTGGCTATTGGGGGCGAGTTATTGGCCCCCACGGAGAGGGCTTGCAACTTGGGTGTCCTCCTGGATGCACGGCTGTCTTTAGAAGAGCATATGACGGCTGTGGCTAGGGGGGCTTTTCATCAGGTTCGCCTGATTCACCAGTTGCGTCCCTTTCTGGATCGGGACTCCTTACGCACAGTCACTCAGGCACTCATCACTTCCCGCCTGGACTACTGCAATGCTCTCTACATGGGGTTTCCCTTGAGGTGCACCCGGAGGCTCCAGCTGGTGCAGAATGCGGCTGCGCGGGGGATTATGGGAGCGAGAGGGCGCTCCCATGTGACACCTCTCCTGCGCGAGCTGCATTGGCTCCCGGTGGACTTCCGGGTGCGCTTCAAGGTACTGGTTACCACCTTTAAAGCGCACCATGGCATCGGACCTGGGTATTTGCGGGACCGCCTTCTGCCAGCAATAGCCTCCCACCGGCCAGTATGCTCCCATAGAGAGGGACTCCTCAGGGTGCCGTCGGCTAGGCAGTGTTGGCTGGCGACCCCCAGGGGGAGGGCCTTCTCTGTGGCAGCACCTGCCCTCTGGAATGATTTGCCCCCGGAGATACGAAGGATATCAGATCTCCGGGCTTTTTGCCGCACCCTAAAAACTTTTTTCTTCCATCAAGCAGGGCTGGCGTGAACCCCCCCCCCATTTTTGAGATATTAGATTTTTTAATTGTTTAATGGGTTTTAGTCGTAAGGTTCTTAATTTTCGGCCAAAGGGTATAATTCTTTTAAATTTTTAAATTTTGTATTGGATGTTTTTTACTTGGCTGTGCACCGCCTTGAGTCCACCAGGAGAAGGGCGGTATACAAATTTAAATAAAATAAAAATAAATAAATAAATACTGGTGAGGGCACTTTTTAGAGCTCTGTCTCTGATAATAAATACCCAGGACAGCCCTCTATCAGAAATG